TTTTCACACAGCTACTCGTTTTAGGGGTAGGTCACGTGACCTGTTAGTACAAGTCGTCTGTTTTCCTTATTTTCCTTGACTAATATGTGATAATGTGAACAAAAGAATACAATAAAATATGGAGAAGTTGAAAGAAAATGCAGCTATGAAGTAAGACGGAACTTTATATTATTTTACTGTACAAACATAGTGTGGAATTTCAGATGACACCAGCCAATGCATATTACTACTAGCCACTGCTAGCTTGGCTGGCACTTTGACAGGATGATCAGTTCATGTCATTGTTTTTACTTATGGCTCACCTTAATGAAAGTCTAACTGGTCTTTTTTTCGTAGAATCTTTTTCTATATCACACGAGATTTTGAAGCTAAAGAAACGGAAAACATGAACTATATAACTTTTCTTATTTCCCTTGATCAAAGACAAAGAAAATGTCSACAAAAAAGTAGAATATATAAAAATCAATCGTTGAYTGGTTGGTTTGAGATTACTTGAGTTAAAGCGCGGCTAGGGTAGTGTGAAGTGGAGCGGAATGGAGTGGGGTGGGGTGGGTAGGGGTGGTGTGGTGTGGTGTAGTTAGGTGTGATGTGGTGTGGTGGTGTGTGGCGTGGTGTGGTGTGGTGTGGTGAGGTGTGGTGTGGTGTGGTGTGGTGTGGTTAGGTGTGGTGTGGTGTGGTGTGATGTGGTGTGGTGTGGTTTGGTGGTGTGATGGTGTGTGGGGTGGTGTGGTGAGGTGTTGTGTGGTGTGGCGTGGTGTGGCGTGATGTGATGTGGGATGGGTAGGTGTGGTGTGGAGTAGACTGGAATAGAGTGAGGTGGGTAGGGGTGTGGTGAGGAGTAGACTGGAATGGAGTGAGGTGGGTAGGGAGGGGGGTAGGTGGAGTAGAGTGGAGTAAATTGGGTTGGGTTGGCTTTCCCAACTCATTTTTGTTTTGAAAAAATTACCTTTCTGCTTCAGAAAACGTCATGAGTGAGTCAAACGTATGCCTGAAATTTCCATTAGGTACAATGTTGTAATTTTTTGCGGCTTCTTGCAGAAGTTTGATCTGTGCAATGACTTCGAATTCCTGCAGGGAAATACAACAATAAAAGTAAAGTCATCTAGCATGAGTCATCTAGCATGAGCTCAAACAATTCCCTGAATATATGTCAAGTATGCACAGCTTGATTATGTCGCTCACCTTTCGTCTTTTCTCAAAATTAATCAATCCATCCTATAAAAAAAACAAATCCATTCAGCAACAATGAAAGATATTTCCACATCTTCACAGAACACACGGCGACCATAGACATAAAACAGTCAATTATACCTCTGTGTAATCTGGATATAATGTGTCAATCATTGTCAGATCTGTTAAAAATGTTCCTAGATACGGTACTGTTCCTTGCATAACGGAGTCCTATAAAAGGAAGAGCGAACAATAGTCACTGCACAAAACAAAGATGGGGAAAAAACAAAGAGAAAAGGAAGGAAGGAAGGAAGGAAGGAAGGAAGGAAGGAAGGAAGGAAGAGGAAAACAGTATTGACATGATAATATGCTCCTATCATGATAATATAATATTGCCGCCTTACTGAGTTTAGAAACCGCGATCGTCGTTTCTTCAGGCTGTTCGGTCTTTTTATTCCAGACGTTTCTGATTCTGGTCTTTTAGCTGTCCCTTCCTGCAACCATAATAAAAAACCTGGTTCGAACACACAGCATGCTAGAATTGACATAGCTGAATGTATGATAACAAGCCTCCCGAATCACTTATTAAATGAGCATTGYTATTAGCACACGTATTCTTGCAGGGGGACGTTCCTGGTTCATGTCCAACAACAAAGGATGTTGGACCCAGTATTTTTGTAGAATTTTATAATTATCGACTTCTATTGATCATTTCCATACCTTCATCAAAAGCTCTCTGCTCATTTTTTGATTCTTYTCCTCTGAAAAAATCGACGAGAGCTCAGAAAATAAAAGCTGTTTTTCCCTAAAATTATAAGAAAAAGTGGTTAGTGACATTCCATGTTGCTCTAGTTAGTTATATCTGTTACCTTGGGACTTGCATCCAAGATTTTTTTAGCCTATGTATTGAGGCAGACTGGAGCCCAGAAATAATAGCCCTCAGAGACGAAAAGTTCTTGATATCTCGACATTCCTATAAAAATATGTGTCAATTGATATAAATATTTTATAAAAGATACATTTTACGTTTAATTAAGYGTTGCTAATTTTATTTCAAAGAGYAGTTTTTTTTCAAAGCCTATTTTGCAAACAGTGATTAAAGCCAGAAACTTAGATCCTAGATGCCCAAACCTCGTGGTGGTATATAATACTGAACAACACACCGTATCCATGGTGATTTCCCACAAACAGTAAGTAGGCAAAAAAGGTCCCWTTTGTTTTACAATGCTTTGCATTGTCACTTCTTAAATATTGTCCAACCCTTGCTGCAAGCCTGTTTACAAGCTACTTTAAGTACAAGCACCAGCCAAGACCAATAACAGTTCTAGCATTGCTGGCCACAAGTTTATATTTTAGGTTAGGTTAGTTCAATCTATCTCATTACGCCATTGATTGGTATTATAATAGCTGAGACAAAAGAAAAAAGTCTAGGATGTCTGAGCTTCTCGTAAAAAAATCCTTAAAGAAAACAAACCTGCGCAATCTCGATCCAACGTGTTATGTATTGTGCTCTTTTGCTTGGCGCTGTACTTTTCCTACTGGAACAAGTAAGGATAGTAGAAATCACTCGCAGTGAAACAGCATTAAATTGTTCAACTGTTGGTTTTGCTGTATTGTGAGTATCTTTGCTCCGTCGTCTATTTGACCATACTGAGCCTAAACAGTGCCAAGGGATGACCTTGCGAAACAACTCCTGAAAATAACAACACGATCGACAATTTAAGAAGAYTCAGTAGCCACTAAATTTGGATATTTCTCTTTCGTCTTAGAAAAAAATCCAAAAAGGGACGACCTTTCCTCCTTCCCACTCCCCCTCCAGCCTTTTTTTCTTCTCCTTGGTCTTCCCTACCATCCACCCACCCCACGCCCTCGCCTATCTACCCACCCCACGCCCCCACCTATCCACCCAACCCCCTTCCCCACCCATCCTACCTCTCCGTCCGCCACAGCCTCCTTAACCACTCAAACCCACTCCCCCAACCATCCTGCCACTCTACTGGCCTTCCCAACCACCCAACCCCACCCTCCACTCATCCTGCCACTCCATGATGATAATTGACGATAACTGGCACAACTGTCGGTACTTACTGCGTCCATAAGAGTAAGCTGCTCTGCGAACGACTCCGGGTTGGATGACAACAAATCAAAGTCAAGTCCTTCATAAGAGCCACTTGTTTTGTCAGCCTCCACGATGTAATCAACATCCTTAAGCATAGACAATCTAAAGCCTATTGGATCCCCTGTACATGAGAAAAGCGCATGTCACTATTAGAACATGTACATTTTATTGTATTTTGTTTTTTGTTTTAGTTTTTGCTCACAGGCTGGTGCTACATAATAGGACACAGGGTGCCCTTCAAGATACATTGCACCAACTTCAAACCCCGTAAAATCCCCGATACCTATCCCACAATCAAATCTTTAAGAAATCATTATTAAAGGCCAGACACTGAGGATGGTCACTGCCARGGTTTCTTTACGTCCTCAGTGGTTCTTTTACGTCCCTCCGTTGCAGGGTGAGGTAGTGTGGAGAGAAATATAGGACCGCCATTTTACGTGGTCATCCGAAACACGTGAAGGTCTAACCATGATGTTGTTATTATAAAGGCAGCACCTTCTCCTCAGTTGTTCTAAAACCCTGAGTGTTGGTCCGGCTTGGACTTGAACCACGACCTCCTGCACGAAAGTCTGACCAGAAAGTCCGACAAGAACAACCTCTTCGCGATTGTCGATAGAACGTGGATGTGTGGTTGCAGACACGTAGAATGGCCGTCTCAGTACTAGTACGACTAACAACTTCTTCTGATTCTAGTTAATAGAGGGACTAGCTAAGTTTTTATACATCGTCGAAATGTTGCAGAGTTGAAGTACAGAGTATGTCGCTGTTGTCGAGTTGTGGTAGGGATTTCTTGCGCATATTCGTTATTTTCGAAGAAAACTTATAGATAATAGAGAGAGAACTGTTGATCCGCAAGATATCCTCAAAAGTTAGGTGTCGTATGACTTCGGACGTGATGTCAATGAAACCCCATTCTYCCTTAGATGTACGGATTATTTACRGGAYAATGTTTTAGCCCGAAGGCATAAGGGGAGAGAATAGGCTGCGCCCAGACCGTCTATATGCAGCTAATCAAGAAATCGTTGATCCAGAGTCGTAGAAAYACGTCATGAAAAAGCGTAAAATGCATTAGATTAGATATTTCATTCTATTGTTTTAGAAATAGTACAAAATGTTTGTTGCATACCTTCACTTTCATATGGTGTTATAATAAATGTTTGAAGCTTTTCTGTAATTTTCTTGGCCAAATCTTTCTTGATATCTCCTTCTAGTTGATTATTTACAAAGTTATTCAGTCTCTTTAGATCTGCGAAGTCTGGCGGCGCATTAAAGTCCGAGCAGAACTGCTCAAGCCAAACCATAAGMACTCCAATAACGCCTCTGTAATATCACAACAAACAGAAAATTAATTCTGTTTTGCGCAATAAAAAACTAGCTAATTATGTCCATATGATAAATAACTTGATAAGAGACGGATCTGGTGAGGAATGTTTACTCACCAAAAAGGAACGAGGCTAGAGAAGATTTCTACAAGAACTGTAGCTCATTAATCAACGAATTACAAGGGAGTAATACTGACACGTTCGATAAYTAGACGTAAGGTATTTCATGTACGGTACAAACAAGTGGATCACCAAACACATTTATTGCTATAGGAATKAAATAATGCACAACATACTACGTACCTACCTTTCGGCAGTAATGGGGAAATGTTGGTAGAGATGCTAGTGAGTTCACTACTCAACAACATTACGATCAAAACCACTGCACTATATTGGCTACTGTTCTTTTGGGGTTTAGTCTTTGAACATTTTATTTCACAGACCCACGGTATTATGCTGTATAGAGTTTTATGTATCTCGAACGTGGCGTATTTGGTTCTGACTTCCATATTACATTACAGTTGCGCGAAGTCTTATTTCGCGATTTTGGATGTCGCATATTTTTGTGACACTTTAATTTCGCAATTTCACGAAAATTTCACGTCATCCCCCCCCCGATTTTCCTTTTGGATCCGCCATTGAGTGCTGATCAAAATCAATAGGGGCTGAATAGTTCTCAGTAACAACATCTTTTATCCCTGTTTTTTACGCTGCCATTGTCAAAAAGAAAACGGCGCAATCTTGATCAGAATGTTATTTGAAACAAAACAGATTTTGAATCTTTTTACAAGTTTCAGAAAGTGTTCGCAAAGGCCTTTCAATATGGCGCAGCGAATTAATTGAGGGCACACAAACATATATATGTTATTTACCGGCCAGGAGGTCCGGATAGGGAAMAACTGTGCCCGAGGTCTYGAATATATGTCTTCAAGACCGAGGGCACAGTTTTTTCATATCCGGACCGACTATGGGACGGTAAATAACTTATTTATTTTTTTCCCGTATTGTTTTTTCTTGTTTTTGTAATCGTTTTGTTTTGTTGTTTAGCGGCAAARCATACCGGACCGCGAGCAGATACTGACAAAATACTGCACRCTCAAACAGCCAATCAGAACGCACGATTTTTTTAGTATACCGGACCGGGAAAAAATAAGAGTTGTTATTCTGGAAATAGTAAAATAATGTGTACAGCTTTTTCAAAAAAAATGTTG